CCCATTTGGTCTAGCCCTATCCATAATCATGGCCAAAGAATCAAAAGCTAGATCAAAGATCAAAGGGATGGAGAGTCCCCCTATCTCGGACATCTGTGTGTAGGTAAAATGGGAACAATGTTGTCATTCTTCCTATAGAGTATGGGTGATGAGCAAGAGCGGACACGGGGTTTTAATGATAAAATATTATTGACACCTCATAGATTAACTAATTATAGAATAATATATAGTTTTACAATGCAAATCTTTTTAATTCAACTGATGAGAATAAATTTGTAATGGTAAAAGACAAAACCGATCTTGGGTAGTACAGAAGAAGATTTGGCGAGAATTGTATGACAAACATGTAGCTTGATATGCATGAGCATGAGTTTGTTACTAAATTTGTTGGATATATACTTGAAATAGTATTTAAGATAAAATATTGAATGATGTATAAAAGAACAACAAATAAAGGAAAAACTCAGTTCTGGGAAAGTAAAAAAAGCTTAGTACAAACAGACCAAAAAAGCCAAATTGATTTTCTTAGGAGATTCGATCAAACATAACTTATCTATTGTTTTTAGCTTGTTTAGAAAATCAAAGAGAACTATGAGAATGTGATTCAACGCATTCTTGCCACTGAATCTCTCTAGATAATCGATGATCACATTATACACATGCTTCAAAGTTAGACATGTTTTGCCTTTAGTTTTTATTTGTGTTCTATTTTGCCTTTAGTTTTGATTTGTATTGTTTGGATTCTTTATATGCCAATTAGCCTAATATATATATATATATTGACCCCCTTCTTCAAATTAGATGTTTCGGAAGCGGGATGAACTCCTAGCACCAGCTCGCATGCGAGCAATTCAAGAGGAATTGGCGGCATTCTTTCTTGACCACGTGATCCCTGAAGACGGAGAATTCTATGTGGACCCTGAGTCCGTATGATTATATTTGTAAGAGATAATTATTGTATATATGTAACCGGTAGTGTCAGATAGATATACGAGAACTTGTTGTTCGACCAATCTCTCGGAGAAGGAGAGGTGGTCGATATCACTTCTCTCTGTATGCATATATGTTCATGACGATCTTCTGTTTCCTTCGTTTGCTTACTAGCTAGCCAGCGTGTCTAGTCCTCTCTATATGTATGTATAGTACGTAGCGTCGACCAAGCACGGACATAAGAGAGGACACTTCTTTCTATTAATTATAGCTAGCTAACACAATATATGAAACACCTAAATTAACCCCCCAAAACCCCCAACCCCCCCCCCCTTTCAAAAAAAACAAAAACCCTAGCCACAGAAATGCCGACGCGTGGATGCCTATTGGTCCCGGTTGGTGCCACCAACCGGGACCAAAGGGTCTCCTGACTGGGCTCTGCGCACTGCCCACGTGGAGGCCCATCAGTCCCGGTTCTGGATTGAATCGGGACTAAAGGGTCGGGGCATTAGTACCGACACTTTAGTCCCGGTTCAGGAACCGGGCCTAAAGGCGCTTACGAACCGGGACTAGATGCCCTTTTTCTACCAGTGACATGCTTCAAAGTTAGCCATGTTTTGCCTTTAGTTTTTATTTGTGTTCTGTTTTGCCTTTAGTTTTGATTTGTATTGTTTGGATTCTTTATATGCCAATTAGCCTAGTTGCGAATTGGAGTCGATGTTAGTGGTTACCTTTCTTTGGTTAAAACGTGAAGGTCTCATAAATTGAGGCTGGCCTGGTGGTTTTGTGTTTCATCAAACATTTAATTAACCTTAAGTTAATAAGAAAATGGTCCTTTAGATTTTATGTTAGGAATTGGAATCACGCAAAATTTCTTCATGTTTGTCAAATGGAATCTCAACTTTTCTTTGGTTTGATATGTACATGTAAGTATGTAACTGTCAAACTTATGTCATTTGTAGCTTTGTACGTGCACCTAGTTACTCTTTTGAGCTGATGGGGTTTTATATTTCTTTCTAGACTATGATGTAGTCATGACCTGGTTGGGCTGGCGTGCAGACAGCGATGGATGGCGGCAACCAGTCGGGCAGGCGTGTGGCTGGTGATGGACGATCAAGGACGGATGGCGGCAACCAGTCGGGCAGGCATGCGCGTGGCCAGCCGGCCGGCTAGTTATTTTTTTAATCGTGTAAAGCTCATTGCAGACGGTTTTGAACAAGGAACGACATGCAGGGGATGGATTTCCACCGTCGTCTTCTAAAACTGCCTGCTCGGCCACGAGTATTAGTAACACTGGCCTACAGGCAGAATTGACAACCGCCTGTGGGTCATGTACGAGAACCGCTTGCAATGCATGTTTCTGCAGTAATAAACCTTACCAAATAGAAAAAAAACTCACTTTTATCTACTACTCTACTAGCACTAGAAAGAGAGGGCTGCGAATCAGGTCATCCTATCCATCGAAACATGTAATCTGATGGTCTACATCCCTCCAGCATATTAAACGCGTTTTACGCTTTAATTACCCACCATGCCATTACTTAATTAATCTACTACCCCTAATCGCTCGCTAATCCAACCCCCACGAACAGAAACCCCCACGCAAAAAAAGAAACCCCCACGCCTTACGCTGGGAACCGCTCCCACGCTCGTGCAGCCGCCGCTCGCCGCTCGCCCGCTCGGCCCGCCCCCGCCTCGCGTAGCCGCCGCTCGCCCGCTCTGCCCGCGCCGGTGCCGCCCGCACCTGCCCGCTCGGCTACGCCGGCGCTGCCGCTCGCCCCCACCCCCGTCGGTGCCGCCGAGCGGCACCTCCGCAGGGGGGGCGGGCCGCAGCAGCACGCCCCCGACGCCTCGGCCTGGGACTGCCGGCGCTGCCCTGGGGTTGGGGTTGGGGTTGCTTACTGCCGACTCCGACGCCGTGGCCTCCGGTCCAGATGTTGCTGCCTGCTGGACATGCAAACTGAATCCTCCGGTCTCCTCTCTCTTTTTTTCTTCGTCTGTATTCATCTATACAAGATTGAGGACAGGGCCTCTCAATTGTCAGTGCCATTAAGCACAATGCTACTCATTTGTTGCATCTTCAATTGTTAGCTTAATATAATTCACAAGCTTCCCCGTTATCTTCAAGAGGTTGAGTAGTGATTTCAAACACATTGTCTCTATGCAAAGTATAAGATCGGCCATGAATTATCCTCTTATTACTGCCGCAGGAAAGAAATTGGGGCAACTATGTGTCACCTTTGTAGGCATGAATGTTATACAATTTGATTGATTTCACACACTCAGTAAAAGCATACACCCTCAGTAAATTATATACTGCTCGGTTTGATTGATTTCATCTATTTGTCATTTCACACGCTTAGTAAAGTATACACCCTCGGTAAAATATATAGTGCTCAGTTTGATTGATTTCATCTATTTGTTATTTCACTTTTTGGTTTTACGTGTTAACTTTAGTTTCAGTTGTGAGTTTTCAAGCACAACTATTCCAAATTGTTCTACTACTATTTGAACGTGCTATAATGATGTTTCAATTGCTTGGCACCCGGCCGCTTGCCCGCTAGGCCCGCCCCCGCCAGTGCCGCCTGAGCCCCCGCCCGCACCCGCGATGGCGGCCATGTCCGTGGGTACTACCAAGGAGGCCGCAAGAGCCTGTACACTGTCGGCGAGCTGCCGTTCAGTACCAAGGAGTTTGAGGTCACCTTACCTGACAACAAGCCAGGTCCATCTGAGCAAAGGTAAACTGAGTTAGCCAGTCAGTGTGCCGCACGACATGACAAGATGAGATGATCAGTTTCCCCATAACATATATGTTTGCAGGAGGGAATGCAAGTTCAAGGGGACCATCGAGCGCACCACTCTGGTTAGCCTGCAACAGCTGCAGATGCTCATGGCCGGGATCTCCATGGACATGCCGGTGCAGGCGCTGCAGTGGTCATCATCCGAACAAATGCAGATTTTTTTACTTTACTGGTTACTGATTTCATCAAGTAGAGACCAAGTGAACCATTTGACGTCTTTCGATTATATGTACGTGTCAACTTATCTTGCTTATTTGTTGTTCTGGAGGCAGTTTAGATCACCTTTATTAATTCACACAGGTTCTTTTATGCACTTGATCCGTGAATGAGGCTGAGGCTGGCTTGGGCAGAGACAGTCAGTCGCCTTCTGGAGCTAGATGGAGAGCTTATCACCTTCATATATTTAGTGAGAATGGAATCTTCTTCTTGGTTATTTTTGCATTGAAGATGTTATTCTACTTATCATATGATATTATGATACTAAACTCACTCTAAAAATGTGAACCATTTGATTTACCTTTAAGATTTTCGAAGTTGTTCTATGTTACAAGAATAGCATAATCCTGGATACCACCACAATCTGTCCTTCTATCAAAGATCAAGAGTAGACAGAGTAGTCATAGGTATCAACTAGAAGTTACAACAACTACTGAGTCTATGACTGCAAGTTCTGGACCCTGAAGAAAGCAAATAGAATCTAGGTATCTTAGTAGAGCCAAATTCTTATGAGTAAATTACCTTATACTTTCCTGGACCTGTGTTCCAGTGAACTCAACACAGACCAATACATAGTGATGGACGTTGGATGAATTGATTAATGTGGAGACCATAGCTTGGTGTAAATCAGCGGACTTGCAACCAAGTCTGAACACTTGACGCTAATCCAGCAACCATCTTATCATGTTTTTCTCATTTCCTATCCTTATGTAGCCACATTTTTTCATGACCTTCGCAGGTGCTCGATATTGTGTTGCGCAATATTGTGCTCAACGAACGCAATGGCATGGGGTAACAACCGCGCTCCGCCCTTTGTGTGGTTAATTGTTATCGATCATTTTGCATGCTTTTCTTATTTGTTGGGGACTTGTTGTCACCTGTGTGCCACACGTTCATCCTGGTAGGCCAGTCTTTGTTCTCGCGGACCATTGAGGAACCCATCAAGTTAGGCCAGGGTATCGAAGGATGGAACGGGTTCTGCCAGAGCATCAGACCTACCTGCAGTGGATTGTTCCCTCAACATAGGTCTGTGACATGTATTCCTTGCATTCTGTTTCCACTTACCTGCAACATGCTATGCCAGGATGAATGAATGATGGGGAAATATTCTTACTTGCCAATAAATGTATTTCGAATTTTGGATTGCAGACATGTCATCGACGGCTTTCGTTTGAGCTGTGTCGCTGACTAATTTCATTGGGGAGGTTCTTGACAAGAGAGATCTCATTTGTGGCATTCATGACTTGACTATCTTAAGGTATGCACATTTTCGGAATCAAATGTATCGCGACCAAGTTGCTGCTGTGGTGGTATGGTAGGTTTTGTTTTCACATTCCGCTGCAGATTAAGAAGGCCCTCAGGGGTGTGAGAGTTGAGGCCGCCCACCGAATTATCGCCTGGCAAAACCAAGAGAGTGAGGGAGTACTTCAGAGAAACTTACAAGCTGCAACTACCTTGCAATTTTCTCCCCTGCCTGCAAGTTACAGAGCAGAAACCCAACTATCTTCCAATGGAGGTTTGTGCAAATGGAGTCCAAGTTGCTGTTGTGGTGTTATGGTAAGACAACTCAACTCATCGGTTGTGGCAAAATGTTATCCCTAAAAGTAATAACTAATTTGCATATATGCTCTGGCTCTCTGTATGAATTAGGTGCCTCCAAATAAGTTCTCAAAAAAATAAAAATACAAAAATAAGTTGGTTCAGAATCAGCATGTGGATCTTGTTGCAATTGATTGCGTCAGGTCTAGCTCGTTTCATTGTATTCTCTTTGTTCATTATTCATGCTCTGCTACTTATTGTCATTTTTGGCCAAATAAAACAGTGTGCTCAAGTAACATTTTAGTTTTTCTTTTTTGCGAAATAATATTTTTGTGGTTAAAACGAAAGAAACCATTTTATCACTCCAGTCCACGAGGACACAGAGAAAAAAAAAACAAATCCACCATAATCTTGTCTTCCTACTTACTTTTACTAAACAAGAAAAATAAACTACAAAGGAATCTTCTAAAAAATAGATAAAATATCATTTTTCAGATTGAAATGTACAACTCTCAACTTGTCTTTTACTTCTGTTATGTGCATGTTCATCGTGCTGGATGGTGTTGTACTTGTAAATACCAGAATTGCAGGCAAAACAAAGTAATGGATGGTCTACAAGAATCTGGATGAATTCATCTCCATGGTAAAATAAGCCAGCCAGCGTGCATTCCATTTGGTTGGAAATAATATTGCCTTTGAAATGTATGAGTGATTCTTGGCATCTGACATTGCTGAATCCAACATTGATGTTGTCTTGTTACGCATACCTTTGTAAATTCTCTTGGGGAGAAAATGTATAAATTGCAATTTGCAACATTGCCCCCAAAATAGATGAGGTTCACACATATAATTATGGATTTGTGTAGTTTATGATCTCAGAGTTTTTGAAAGCACCATTAATGATTTCTATTTGTATAGAGTAAACAAAATGGCATTCAACGCCTTTAAACCTAACTCTCAGTAGTTGTAAGAGCCTGGAAACGTGGTTTTGGACCTCCCATGCTAACTTGGAAAATATGGTACTATATCATATGATGACTATTACCTTGGTTGTTTTTTGTTCTTGTCATTTTATCACACGGCCATCAAGTACTTATGATCCATGCATACAAGGTGTATTTGATTGGGAGTAGATGTATATCTCTAAAAAACATTAGTCGAGACGTGCATTGCACGTGCAAGCTTACTAGTAATAATTAATTCAACCCTGACATTTTCTCAAACAGACACAAAATAAATTTTGAATTATGAGCACCGTCAAAATCATCTTGCAAGAAGATGATGTCATCTGCATATTGTAGCATGTTAACACTCTTGAGTGTTATCTTCTAGCAAACCTTTAATCAACCCATTTTATCTAGCCCTATCCATAATCATGGCGAAAGAATCAACAACCATATCAAAGTTCAAACGGGATAGAGAATCTCCCTGTCTCGGACCTTTGTGTGTAGGGAAAAAAGACCATCGTTATTAACTTTAATG